TTAACAACTGCCGAAAACAAAAAGATAAATGCTATATCAGTTGCTTATCTTGGGATGAAAAAAGATCGCTGGATTGAGCAGAGTGAATTAAAAGCAACTGTAAAACGTGCAGTCGAATGTGCGCATGGAAAGTTCTCGACAATTAAGAATTTCTCAAATTTTGTCGCAGGTTGGTTTATTTTGAGATTTATTAGACTTTAACCTATAGATGATGATATTGTGTGATCTATTTTCTTTCGAAAATGCTGAATAAATGAATCCGTAGTTGATTTGTTAGGCTTATATTTCTTTCACTCATTTAGCTCGCTTGCCAATAAATACTTGCGCATAATAGAGGGTGAATACGCTATAATCTGTTATGCAGTTTTATAGTTCACTCTACAAACCTATTATGTGAAAAGGTTATTGCCATGACGAGGAGTGAAGTAAATATAAGTTGATATGAAGCTACCTAGTATCACACAAAGTTTCATCTGCGTGATGGCCACACAACGATGTTGAACTTTGCATATGCACTGATAATCAGCGTTATTTTAATGATGATAAAAAATTTTATGTTCCTGAAATCTAACGCATTTTATATTTATTTTATTAGTTTGACAATGCCTTTGAAGGTGTTAGTGGTTTATATGATATGGGGGCGATCAAGTCAGATAAAGAAAAGCCTTTGGATTCCGATAAAATCAAAAAAATATATAAATTCATTGAAAGACAAGCTCAAAAAAGATAATACGGCACTTTATCAACATTTATATTCGGCCGTAAGCTCTTACCCTATTGATAAATTAACTTGGAAAGATCCATTAGCAAGCCAGGTTATTAGTGATAAATCAGAGATTTATGTAAGTGTATGCATCACGAGTCATAGAGCCATGTAAGGTCAAAATCGTTATTAAAGGACATGATACTACGTCGTACATACATACATTGTGCGCATTTAGGCCAGATAAGGTTTCGGTTCCCCACAAAGTGAAGTCAAAAATATAGAGTAGATTAGAGGGTCCACCAAATCGCAGCCTATGCACTAAATAAAGCTGCCCAAATGATAATTTTGCTATAATATAGTCGGCCGGTATTATTGCTTAACGCCACTTTATTCCGGCCCATCCCTGACCCCAAATTCGGGCCGATTTGCTGAATTTTGGTGGACCCACTAATCTATTCAAAATATATGTGGCATGATCTAATTGACCGAATTGGGTCGAAAAATGAAAAATGGCAATTTCTACTCGTACCCCGTCTCACAAATGAGCTATGCATGATAAGCCCTGCGAATAAATTTTACATTGAGAATTAATGCATTCACATCGCCTATATATTCCATCCACTACTTTTTTGTATGTTTTGCAATATAGATGTGAATGGTGGTTGCATTCATCGCAAACGACAATATCGACTGTATAAAAAAATAAATTATATACAGTATATTTAATTGATTAATTTCAAATAAAATATTTGTTTTTAATAAGTTAAATATTAAAATATTAATTAATATAGTATTTAACACGTAGTAGTGTTATCGTTATGTGTCTATAACAAATAATGATGTCCGAAAGATTTTGCCATTTCGTGTAACCCGAGCTTCCGAACTTCATTAATTATGCCCG